TCCAAATTGGCTCATTCCCGCGAGCCTCGATATTCCAATCTGAGTCCGCAGGTCCTGTGTGAGATACACCCTTGGGGGACTGCCACTGGACCCTCAAGTCATCTGGAGAGTCCAAGGAGTCGGAGGAGCACGACATCGCCAGCAGGCCCCCTTCCATGACAGTGACTGGCCCATCCGGAAAGCAAGAGGGGCTGCTTGGGGAGTTCAGCACCGTGACAGTGACGCTGTCTTGAAAAATGTCGCTGTTGCCGCTTTGGTAGTGAACGGAACATAAATATGTTCCTGCATCTTCGGGCATGAGGTTGTGTATCCGAAGGATGTAATCGAGACCCCCGATGTAGTAGTAAGCAGCGATGCTACTCCGATCTCTGTAGGGTGATCTTACCGCTGTCGAGACTGCGACAACGCGATTCATGTCCGGCGCAAAGGTGTGAAACCAGTACGGTATAAGTATTGCATTGGCTTTAACGTTCCGAACTGAACACTGAATCTCGATTGTCGTGCCCTGGTATTGCCGGATCATGTCCGGGTTGACGCTGACGCGCAGACCCAGAGCTGTCCTTGTGAAAAGATGCCCTACCACAACAGACACTAAAACCAAAAGTGGAGGTCTTGAGAAGATCTGCTCCATGGGTCCTCTGACCACAGTCTACCAAGTGGCTCTCTCTGGAGTTGGTTTTGCGGCTAGCAATGGAAACCTAGCGGCTAATACCAGAACACTTTACTCTCGGGTACTTCTCCAGAGTCTCCAGGCTACTCAATCATACAATGTTAGCACTGGTCGTGTTCACTGAAAACAATGCAATATTTTTCTCACCTTTATTCGATTGCCCTTGCTTGGAAACGGAAACTCCAACCACCACTGTTCAGCATCATATCCTCCTTCCCTTGTCCAATCTTGGACAATACATCCGTCCAGACTGTGATATTGTCTATGTGGTGATGGCTTCAGATAAAAAAAACCATGGCCAATGAACATCCATTAAGAAACCTGTAAAAAGATTTGGCGACGGAACTGACCAACTGTTAATCAAGCTGATATGTTTTTCTCTAGTTGTGCGTAGGAGGATTTTTGGCAGTGAGAACGGTTGTTTACAAATTTTACTGTCAAATATTCCTAGCAATGATTACAATCGTCCGGCACTGCCTTCACGTCCGAGCACAAACGTGTTGAAAGGGATATATTAGTCATGTATACTAAGATGCAGCTATAATAAAACTTCCAAAGATTGCAATATTCACGGAAGACATTTTAAGTCGTTCCATTTGAAATCCATGTGCAGAGCAAGCCTGCTGGCATTGAAGCCGATGCGTCACATAGCGACAACAGCGTTGATGAATCCCCTTCAAAGAGCGTTCAGAACTGAAGCAACGGACCTTTAGTTTGTTGAGGGGATGATGGATTTTGATTCTGTTCAATATATAACACCATGGAAAATACACAGTAAATATATATAGACGCGATTTTAAAAGGGTCAAGATATCAAGCCAAATTGTTATAGACTAACCCAAGAACACACAATAACTGCAGTAGCACTGCACTCACACGCACTTCAGCCTGATGCGCACGTATGTGTGGCAAATCATGACACCCTATTGGCCAAAGAGTTACGTAACGCGCACGTGCTACCTGTCTACAAGCATTGTGCCACCGCAGTGCTTCTAATCTTGGTCAGCTACTTAGAACTACAGAATAAAAATGGTTTGGTCTCCACATGCATGGCAATGATCCCAACCATATCGCCTTGCTCTCAGAGCTTATATCGCAAGAAATGCAGCCTTTCCGTTCGACCAGGTGCGATTTCCTCAGAACACAGCTGGCTGGAAACGGCCAGGTCGAATCAAGTTGTCATGTTCAAAAGTAACAGCGTGCTCTTTGCATGGGCTGCACAAGGAGCTCCGAGAGGTTCCGGTTAAAGGCACGCAAAATTTTGAAGGGAAACGTGTGATCGGAAACAGGGGTGACAAACGGAGACCTCCAACTAGGGGACACTCACCTCATCGGGGGCTTGACCTAGGACCTGTATCCTCTGGAGACATGAGAGAGAGCTGTGCAGGGATTCGAATTATTTGGGTGTTGGGAGGTGCGACAGGCGGGTTTCACTGAATGGCTTCTAAATTGGGTATTGGGTTATTACAGGGAGAGTTGTGCACTGGGAGTAACAACGGAAACAGGGCCTGCTGGTGGTGAAAAGAGCTTCATGCCGATTCTGCATGACTACAGGCAAGCCGCGGCGTTAAATATTTACTGTACGTAGGTAATGTCGTTTCTTGTCTGGGCAAAGGATGAATCCTAGCTTCCATTCACCATTATGCCACAAACGGGACGGGTGTGGAGTACCTGAAATATCTAGCTATCCTATCTACCTATATCTAGCTAAGCTATCCGCCTTAAGCAGAAGCACCCATCATCGGTTGAAAAGAGCCATGCTGGTGCAGGAGGTTCAATTTGTTGATCGTGGCGCAACCGTGACGAGTGCATGCCATGTGCATGTAGTTATTTGTGAACCAGCGAGGTGAAGTACCCACAGGAGCCTCATTGCTGAGAATATTGCGCCATCTCTTGATCCCACTCGGGCCTCATACCAGTTGGACACGGATGGTTAGGAACTCCCGTACCTGCCCCTTCCCCTTTCAGTACCATTATGGAATAACGGCGGAACAAAACACAAAACTCCATAAATCCCTATGCTCTTGACATAAAGAGATTATACAAGAGATCACAAGGCCATCGGGCCGGGCACGTCTCGTGGCGAAGTGTGAGACCAGAAAGCTGAGGTCATGCAGTCCAATCTGGTCCAAATTAAAGAGTTGGACTATGACGTGTCATACCGTCCTAAAACAAGCCAAACGAAGCCAAATCAGACGTTCGCCACATGTGGTAGAATATTCGTCCAATCTGTAAAAGCACGAATTTAAACATTCACGCCTTGCTGGAAAATCTCTCCGAATACGGAACCCACGAGCACCAATAAATGCTTGGGCCAATTTCATACAGCTGCTTAAGCACAAAAATAGCTTAAGCGGGAAAAAACTTTGTTTAATAAACAAAGGTTACTAGCTCAAACTCTATCAAATTGTAAAGCTAACCAAAAAACAGCTAAATACAATGCCAAAACAATACACATTACATGGAGTTTTGGCTGGTTACCTGATTTATCAAGGTTGTTTCGCGCTTAAGCAAATTTTGTACTTAAGCAGCTCTATGAAATTAATTTTACAGTAACAATGACGGACCGAGAGACTTAGCCTCGTGTAATTTTCATCGAGGTGTTACGGTGCCGTTAAACTGTTCTTTAAATGGTTGGGAAAGGATTACCACTATGCTCTTATGAGACATAAATGTGGTTAAAGGTTCTGCGATTAATGTCTGGGTATGTTTGATTTTTTTTTCCATCGACCATTTTCAGGTAGAGCTGAACAATCTCGACCTTCCTCCAAATATAGAACTATTGGCAGCTGTTCCGTTTGCCTCTGGTCATTTCCTTGTTAGCCGTGATTGTTTTCCTCGTCTTTTGATAACCAAGACTTTTGTAAGGTTTATCATTTCCGTTATGTGGAGACCAATGATCAGTCATCACCGTCAGCATATGGCAACATTTGAGCTAAACTTCACGTGCCCTGAAGCATTGTATTAAAGGGTAGCTGCGATAGAATTCTTTTAGTACAAACCTCCAAAATGCACCTTTATTGTGTCTTAGGTAACCTCACTTTTCATGTTTTTCTTTTGCCATTTCAAACAGGTTTTTGCAGCCCTTTTTGTTTTGATGCTATGCTAATGAGTATTTCCGTATTCAAGAGCACAACTGATGCCATCCCTGGAAGAAACTTCGATGAGTGGTTTGGTAAAAAACTGTATTTTTATAAGATTTTCCTGGCCTAAATTTCCTCTTCTTTGGTAATTTGTTGTGTAAGTACAAGCAACCAATCACCCCCTCTTCATAAATGTTTTCAGTCAGAGTGTTCTGGGTTGAGGAAAGAAATGCACTGAACCATGCCTTCCCTATGACATAGCTGCAACAGCGCCCTCAGAAAGCATGGATAACAATACATGTTAAAGAAGTGCACTATTCAATGCACTGAACGTAAGAGCGATGTCAAATACTTTTAATCCATTGAAAAAATAGTAGAATATTGCAGAAAAATTGTGCCTGAGCGAATTGCAGTTACATTTTGAGCGCATGTCAACGCACAGAGCTTGTATATGACCTCTTTGTGTTCAGTTCACTCAATCACTTAAATGAGCGCCCGATGTGTTCTTATTGTTCACGTTGTACCGTTCAAATGTAAACCGTTCATGAATGCCATGAAAAGTATATACGCATGCGTGCTATACTAAACAAGACTTTAAGGAAATCAGGGGCACGGATTAATGGAAGTGAAGGAGCTGTTCACTGGTGTATAGCCTGTATGTTTATTTTGAATTGTGGCGATCTTTACATATCCAAATATTGTTTATTACAAACAGGTCGGGTAAAACTGAGATTACTGAACATTGTTTTTTGAATCATGATCACTCTTAATTCATATTGAGGCAGAAACATAATCAATGAAATCTCACGGTAATTGTAAATGTGTATTGTTATTTAAACGAATAAATGTTTACAAACAAGGTTTCTGTAAATGAATACGAACTCAATGAGATGAATCATTTCAAAACCACATGTGTGCCCAATTAAATACCAACATAAAGATTCAGGTCTTTTGAAAGAAGTTTTCAATCGGTACACAGCTGTGAAAACACTGGCTGTGGACAGGTGTCAACAATTTGATTGTTCTCGGTATATGACGATTGTTGACGGTACATGTATTTTCACATTCGTAAGGAGTTCAACTATTCACACCACGCTCGACTAACCTCCCTTTCAATGAGCGTCCGAAATTGTTATTAAAGTAGATGGGCTTTTTTCGCACGTTAAAAAAAGCCAGTTATTAATATCAACCAGCTTTACAATGTACTTAAACAAAACACTGCAAGGAAAATTCACGTTCTTAAATAGTTAACGTGTACACATACAGCACTAGAATTTATTTGGCATGCATAAAATTAACTAAAGCACTTGAGTGTCAGAAAAAAAATATTTACAAGGGCGGACCCGGGCTTGCGGGGTGGGAAAACCAATGAAGAGAAAAATGCAAACACCATCAGCCCCTTTTTAATTTCATTGATTTTTCCTTTTTTTTGCAGAATAGAACACCCTGTTGTTGTTAAGAGCGATATTTCCGCACATACAATCAAAGCGTTAATTTTTATTTGATTATTCAAGGATTTCCACACCTCCCCGGGCACACCCTAGCAACCAAATGACAAAGCGTAAATAGTACATCACATCAATGCAATATCAATATAACTCATCAGATCTCAATACAACTATTGTAACCTTGACCTTGCTGCCCGATTCCACATGTAAACTTTTGCTACATTTACAACTACAGCTGCCATGGAAATACAACAAAACAACGACATGGTTTGCCCTTATTCACAACTGTTGCAATTTATACAACCGTTTATACAACGTTATTCTGACCGTTTATACAACGTTATTCTGCGTTCTAAGTATCTTATAATACAGTAATGTGTTGAGGGTGTCTGGTCCTGTACCGAAGTGATTGTTTCCCGTAATGCACATACTCTGGATCTGTTGCGTTTCTTGCCACAGCTAACCGAAAACAACAACAACAACAACAACAATTTTGATACAAGATGCAATTCATGCATCTACTTCAACCGGCGCTTGAAAATAGTAAGAAACTGTAAATTCCACAAGAAAGCCAATCACATTGAAGATATCTTCTAACTTCTGCCTCGCGATTTGCGTTTTGGCAAATAAATTTTTTATGGGAAAAATTGTGTAGAATAGGACGGTGTGTCGCTTTTTGCTTGTTTACAGTTACTAATAAGGATTTGTTGCTTAATACAAAATATAAAAGGTAAGCGTTCATTGCATATCAGAAAACTAATACAGCACATGTACAAGCACACTGCCGCTTCTCTTTGGAATTGTTTATACTCCTTGTAGAATACAGAAGAAATGAATGCCTCTATTGCCAGAAAAACTTTTGTTAAAATCAAAAATGATTGCATAAATGCCTCTTTCATAAGTCTGGGAAATGATCAAAATGTAAACATCTCAAAACCAGTCAAGCAAAAATTAATTTGAAAACAAATTAAAGACCCAGAACGAATATTTGTGATTCCGCTCAGTAGTACACACGTTGTCAACATTTAAGTTAAGCATTAAAATAGATGCAGCTCAGAAAGCCCAAATTGCTTGGCAACAATATTCCTACAGCAATAATTTTCAGACAAAACATGCACTCGCTCGAAAGACAATAGTGATAATGCAAAGATTTGGGTTGTTTAGAATTTTCAATAAGCTGCTAAAATATAATAAACCCGCATCTTCTTTGACTATTGTTTAAGTTAAACTTTAAGAAAGAGACAGAACATCTGAAATCCTTCCAATTCCAGATTTCCGGAGCCAACACGGCTCATCAGTGTAGTGTGTATTTTCTGTTTCTTTCTGTTTATGAACCAGACAGAAAACGCCACCACTCCTGTTTCCAGCTAACATCTATTACACGTATGCCTGGCAGACAGGGGCAAAATGACTTGCCTTAGGACACATGATGGCAAGAAGCTGGACTTGATATCTTTACTATCTGTACCAGAGTCCTATGAATTTAAATTCTATTAAATTCTTCATGCATGACTATGAGAAGTACTGTTCTACCTGTACTTGTACACCTGTAGAATTTGAACGTGCTCTTATTTGCACGTTCTGCTCTGAAGGTTTGGTCGTTTGAATGTTGAAACGTTTAAACGAAAAAAGTTCCAAATCCGTTTCCCGATTTTTCCAAACGTTTAAACGGAACTGCCCATCTGAGAGGTTTGACGTTTTTAATCTGACGTTCATTTTTATTGCAAACTATGGCTGTAATATGTGATCCAACTTTCAGATCACTTTCATATCAAAGGAATATACCATCACTAGAACTTTGTGTCAACTATTTACACTGTATACAATTTCTTGTGTTTTAAAGTTTTCAATGACACCGTGGTAAGGGTGGGTCGTTCACTCGTTTAAACGGTATGGGGAAGTTCCCTAAACGTTCTTCAAATTAATTGTAAATTCCCAACCGTTGTCAGAGGGGGCCCATGGCTCTGTGCGTTTCATTATACATGCATTCCTGTATGTTAATGAACCTAGACTCTCAAAACAGTTGCAGAAAATAAACATTGCACCTCCACCTGCACTTAAAATCTAGCAACATGTGCATGTACCCTATCTGTACATCAAATTTGCTAGTGTTTTAAAACTGATTGTAACCCTGTTGTTTTATTCAAACATGGAAAATATATACAATGCAAGCTTCGGTTTTAGCGTGAGTATTGCTGGCTAACAGAGGTGAAGTTGGAAAGAGAGCTTGTCCCTTGTGAAACCGTGGACTGGTTGTCTGATGTTGCCAGATTCAGCAGATTGGTAGTCAGCGTCATGGTGCAGCATGCCATCCGCAGTGCTGGCCCGGGCAGTTCTCCCACTACATCCCACTCGTCTTTGCTGACAGTGTAGCAATGGATGTCCTTCTCCCGTTGGCGGGCCAGGCCGTTGTAGCCACCAATGACATAGATCCTCTGGTCATCCATGGCGGCCACTCCGGCCATGCTGAGACCCGACAGCATAGGGGAGACAGTCAGCCACTGATCGTGACCGGGGCTGTAGCGCTCCACACTCATCACGTCCACTCTTTCGCCATAGGCGCTGAACTGATTCCCACCCATCACATAGACATGGTCCCCAGCGACACACGCCATGTGGAAACCACGGGGTGCGTGCATAGCATGGCGGGGCATCCACTCGTCTCGCTGGGAATCATACTCAAACATGGCTTTGCTGAAGTTGTGGTTGGTGAAGCCACCAGAGACATACAGTTTACCATTAAGAACACAGCTTGCATGGGCATACATGGCTTCGGGAAGATGCTGTACATAGGCCCAGGTGTTTTTGCCAGGGTTATATGCTTCCATTGAGGCCAGGGAACCCTGCTCATTCTTGCCTCCCATGGCATACAGCTTGCCATCCAGTGGCACCAGACAAAAAAAGGCCCTCCTCTGCTGCATCGGGCACATCTGGAGCCAGGTGTTGAATCTTGGATCATAGCGATGGACAGTGCCGATGCTGTCTTTGCCACTGGATGTCAGGGTCACCTGTCCACCGACAACGTACAGAAAGTCATTTAGGACAGCAACGCTGTGGTCAACTCTCCTCAGCGGGATCGAGGTAAGGTGTTTCAGCCGGCAGTGTGGCTCATCTAGGATCATAACATTGCTGCTGACACTCTTATTGGGCAACTCCCCGCCTACTATCAGCACCACCTCATTGGTGGACCGCATCCTGGTCCGGGCAGTCTGCAAGAGGTGCTGGTGCTGGGGCACCAGGTGATAATTTAGGGCCTCTAGCAAGAGCTGGTGGCACTCTGAGTTCTCGATCATGAAGCTGTGGGATTCAACCTGGTCCACCAGATCACTGGACGAGATCAGTGGAAATCGGATGTGTTTCATAAGCCGGGGAGCAAACTTCATGCGAGTCCTGGGGGAGTGGTTGATCCACTTTGCTGCAGTTTCGAAGAGCTGAATCTCCGATCCCGACACCATTCGATCCTGACTGATAAAAAACGACATCTGCTCTGGGGTCAAGGTCTGGAAGTCCTTGGTCTCAGAGAGACTGACAAATCTCTCCAGGATAAAATTTTGTGCTGCTGCATGCAGCTGACTGAAATCATGTTTCTCTGCAAGATGGAGTAGCTCAATGCAGTTCTGCAAGCAGACTGTCGTGATGAGATACTGGACACATAGATCAACGACACGCTGGACGCCGAGCTGAATGGCTGCCTGCAGTGTCTTGTGAACATTTTCTGAAGTCAGGGTCAGCTGGGAAGTGTAAGCAAAGTGGATCAGCATTTCGAGCCCCAGTCTAGAGATGCTGCTGCTGATTTGAATGTCCTTGATGTTGTCGTTCCCAATGAACATCTTCCGGAAGAAGTCGCTGCAAGCGGCGAGCACAATACGGTGGATGGAGAAATGGTTCTCACCACAGATAAGTGTCCCATCGCACAGAACCCGCCTTGTGCGTAAGGCACTGAGTTGTTTTAGCACATCACTGCTATGTTCAGGGCATTCAAAGACTCTTGTGGGTGGCGGAGCCTCATCATGCTTACTACTGCAAAATGAGTTTCTGTGTTGCAACATGTTCAGTGGAACTTTTGTTGAAACCTTTGAAGCCATGGTAGTCATTTTTGGAGTTGGAGCAGGAAAATTTGATCTACATGAACTACATCTACCTTTTGAAATACAAATGAAAAATAGTAAATTTAAAACAAATATTAAATAAGGGAAAAAGGGAAAAGCAGACTTCTTTCCATGCTGCAAAACTTGTGGAAAAACACATCTAAATAAATTTTTCAAAACATGGAGGGCCTGACGTTCCGATCCTAGCAGAATCTTTCTCAAAGGCAAAATAGGCAAAATAAATTTTTTACTCAGTCTCATTTAAATAGCTAGTTTTTAAAGCGATTGAATTACACACACTTTACTGTAATAGTCTAGGAAAAATTATGATATAATAAGATACCATTCCACAGCAGTATAATACTGCATAAGAATTACAGAAAGATGTTGGTCATTTAACACCAACTTTCATCTTTGACAAGTTTTGGTAGATGAACACCAAACCATGACATCTGAAACCTCTTTCCAGTCTTTGGCATGTCAAACATTATCTTTCATGACTTACAGTAACCATGTTCACGGCAAGCAAACTGTTTGTCGTGCAAAACAGCTATTGTCACACACAAGCCTTCATGTTCCTAAAATCATTGCACGATACATATGTAGCGCCCTTTCTTGCCGGTAGGACCTAGGCTACACGTACTTTCCCAGTTTTTGTAACTGTGTGACGACCTGTTCTTTAGCTCCCGTTCTTTTCACTGGGGCCTGCCACCGTGACAACCAAACCACACACAACAATCCGCCATGCCTGCTACGATTACGAACACAAATCTACCAAAATTGTACTCACTCATCTGCTCATCTGGTTGTCCGTTATGAAAGTGCTGCTGTCAAATTTTACACTCATCTCAAAGGTGCTGTCAAACAGATCAAAGGCAGAGCGATCTTGTCACAATTCGTCAGGTATCGACCGTGTCGACGATCAATAATGTATTACAAGGCGTCGCCGTTGTCCATGAGAACGACAAAAATAAACTAACCTTTGACCTTTGACCATGTCTGGTTTTCAACCTCCCAACTAACAGTGAAGAGTAGGAGGTCTCGTTACCTGACTACTAGTCGTGGACAAAAAAAGAAAATGGCCGGTGAGGTGCTGGTGGATGCGTTGCCCTATCATGATAAAGGATATGACGAAGCAGGGGAAAAAGAATCGGTAAATTGTGTTATCTTTTCATTAAGAATGGTCGAAAGAGTGATCATCACTGCCTTGTTAGAAAAAAAGCCCTAAAATCCAAATACTAGGAGGGCCAGGAGGTCTTGTTTCCGTTTCCAGTTTAGGCCCTACGCAGTTGTTTGTCGGAGTAGCTCGTTTTTCCGACACATAGCCTAGTTCACATGGGCAGTTCCCGTCTTGCGACACGTGCTTTTCAGTAACAACTTATATATGTACATGTAGGGGATATCCCACTTTGTTTTTCTGATGGAGAAAAGTTCAATTGTAAACACTAGGCCCAGAACTTGCAGAAGCCTTATCGCTAATACTATTAGTATTACTAGACCTAGTACTGCAAAGTGCAAGAGTGATTTTGCACAATAGCATGAAGGCATCATGGGAGGGAAAAAGGGGCAAATATTGCCCCTTTTCTCTTCCCAAAATGCTTTCTACAGTTGTGTAAAATCAGCCATGGGGTATTAACGATAAGTCTGATAGGCCTAGTCACCAGACTCGTGATCGTCTTGGCATTCAATACCTTTAGCACCCTGTTCCTATAATGAGGAAACAAAGTCTAACCTGGACAATTTAGTGGCGATGTGTTCTTTCATATCAGAAGAAAAGAGGGCAGGGCTTTGGTTTCTGAGGGAAATTATTGGGTAAAACGGCAGCGTAAATGACGCGACGAAGAGCTTTGAATGAAGACAAATTAGTGAATGTAGTCTGGTGCCTTGACCTGGATGAATTTTTTTTGTGAAATTCAGTATATCCACAATGGTTGGGTGAGATAACCAGACGTAAAACAAAATATCATACGGTAGCCTTTTGCCGAAAGCGGGTAAGAAAATTCTGGTTTTCTTGCTTAAATATTGTCAGAGTTCATCTAAACTAGGGCTACTAGGATTACGGAATGGATCATCAAGGTCTGAAAGTCAGTTAGTTTGAAAAAGTGGACTTTGTTTCCTTTATTTAAGGAACAGGGTGCTAGAGGTAATGAACACCGTTGTTTTGCCTCGTCATGCAAACTTGACGCGCAGTAAAGATGTCATAGGGTCCATGCGTGCAAGCGCTCCCTCATTGGATTTAAATTAAATTTCCCAGTCTTTTGCTTTTAGCATAAAAATAGCTCAATGCGTTGAGTTAGAACAGCACATTACGTTGGATTTGATTTGCAATACAGTTATACGATTTTTGTCATGGATCGACCAATCAAACCGGAAATTCAAGTGTTTCCTGAAGATAACAACACATGACAAACTCAAATGTTTAACATGTTACCTGGACATGCAAAAGGTAACATGCCTACATGTAATTACATGTCAATAAAACCTTTCCCAGACAATTTCATTTTTTTCCCTGAGTGGACTTTTCTTCAATGAAAAGCCAAGGTGACATGGAATTTATATTATGCACGAGTATATGGTGGTCAAATATGGAACTCGTACCCCACATGAATGCTAGCAGATGTCAGTACACTTGACATCTCACGTACACAAACTATGGCATGCATGTTCTATGGCATGGCATGTGTTCTAGTCTCATACATTTGAACTATATTGGGGGCTTTGTACACTTACATCTCATGAAAACTTTTCAGTTTATTATAAATCAGTGCCTCACAATGAAATAAAGAATGTAGTTACACGTAATATTGGTTAATTTTTTGGCAGGCATATGCCCTGGTAGAGGAGGAGACAAGGCGATATCGGCCCACCAAGAACTACCTGGAGCATCTCCCAGCCATTGACCACACTCCATTTGAAACAGAAGTCTTGAAGAATGAATTTGAACGACTGGCGTCCCGCCTTCCCATGGATGTGCTCAGCATGAAAAGGCATGAACAGTTCCAATGTTGTGTTCTGGTGTTCTTGCTATTGCACAGTGGACAACCCTTGTCACGGTGCTCATCAGAACGGAGTTCATACTTGAACTGTAGGGTTATGGGCTGTGAATAAAGACCAATTGATTTCGCTTCTCTCCATTGTCAACAGAGCAATGCAAATGACGTCATTGAGCATGGAGTCAAGTTTTGTTTGTTCTCTTTTTTTAACATGCACAGCAAGTTATGTTCTTGAAATTTGATTGAAAGCTACCGTAATTTGTGACATTGCGCTGACTTCAAATAAACCTAGGTCATTAACTACTTGCTGTCAGGGTTCCTGTTACTGGAGACCTTAGCCATATATTCATGGCCAGGGTGCCTGAAATTGGAACTTTCTTTAAAAAAAAAGAGAAAATTTGCTGGGCATTTTAAAAAAGTTTACTTGCCGTCAGTCAACAGTTTAGGCCATCGGCAGAGGTAATTCCATCACTGATGGGCAGCAATGGGTTCCCAGGGCCAGAGACCTTGGCCTTTATTCATGGCCAGGGTGACTGAATTTGGAAAATACTTAAACAAAAGACTGAGTTATTGGGACTTGCCAATCAAGGTTCATAAACTGTCAGCGCAGAGTGCTGACATGAGTGGAGGTAATCCATCATTGTTTTGAAACAGTATCATTGTTCGCCGCTACCAGCACCTGCAGATTATCAGTGGGGACAAAAGTGCTCCAGCACTCCAGCAATGAGTGATACATTGCTGCGTGCTCATGGAATCTGGCCGCATTAGTAAAGACAACACCGTCGTCCAGCATCCGGCCATTTTCCGGAATAAAGAGGAAATTATGCAACACCGCACAATGGGGGCTGTAGGTGTGGCTGCAATACTCATGCGTCAATGGAAGTTGCCTATCAGATTAGACTCGCCACAAGACAGTCATTTGTTTGGGTATATGTGTCCAGTAAATGAAGATATGAATTTTGAAATCGGAAAATCATGAAAAATTACCCAGTAGCAGGCCATGCATGCCGCTAACTGGTCCTGACATGAAGTGGTTAATGAGATATGTTGCATTGCTTTCCTAACAGATATGAGCTTCCCCCGCCTCCAGCAGGCCGACAGAATGACGTTCTTGCCTGGAATGAGTCAGTGGAGAACTCGATGGCTCAGCTGGAACACCAAGCAGAAAGGTCAGTTTAGACTAGTGTCTGTTTTAACCCTAACTCTCCAGGGTATTTTGGCTATAAACTCTGGCATGCATTTGATCCGAGCTTGGTGTGTTTGTTCAGTTTGAATGTTTCCGTTGGTGGTGTAACAATGTGTATTCCCTCCCAAAGTCTTATTGCCACAAAAAAAAGCATCCCATACAAAATCAATGCATTCATGCAAATAAATAACTTGGCTTTGTCAAAAAGACGTTACGAGATAGATCTTTTCTTAATCTTCCAATTTCAGAATTGCCAACTTGGAGCTTCTGTCGAAGTATGGAAGTCAAGCGTGGCGGGTGTACAATGAGTAAGCTTTTGTCTTTCAAGTTGTGTGCTCATAACAGTGGTGGTGTGTACCTGTAATCAATTCATGGAGAAACACCTGTTACCCTGTAGGGAGCCTTCACATAACTGTGTGCATAATTTGTATTGTGCTCTTCACTGATACAGTGTATTGGTTAGGATGGTGGAACATGGACAGCAGCAGCTACAGCAAATCCGCAAGCAAATCCAGGAGCTTAACTGGCAGCGTAAAACAAAACAGGTACACGTTTGAGCTAAATCTTAACACCCATCCCCCTCCAAGGTGTCATCAAAGTGATGTGTTTTGTCTAATAATGCTAGAGGTTGAGTTTGAAAGAGTAGATGTATCTTTAAGCGAGCTCTGTGCACAGAAAGGACAACTTGGTTTGTGGAAGCTTTATTCTTGTTTTTTGTGTCATAACCAGCCCATGGTTACATCAAGAAAGAGTTGTCCTTGCTAGCTTTCAGCTCAGTTTAAGTATCTGCCAGCGAAGAAATAAAACTGCCTCTCATTTTCAGCCAAATCTGTAATGAGACTTAATTTTTGCAATTGATACCCCATGTGTTTATTGTGGCCAGCTAAATATTTAAGGCAGACTTCATTTTGCCATGATCAAACATGTAGAAGCGTTGGGTTGTAAATTTTCTTCAAGTAAAAAGTGCCTACCAAAAATGTGTTTCTGTCCATTACTTGAACAGATGGCTAAGTATCATGCAGCTTCAGTGCATATTGTATTCTGTGCTCTTTTTTCCCCAGAAAAGTGCTGGTGAAGCCTTAAAGAATCTCGAAGAGAGGTAAGACTTTGAAAATCCTGACTCGAGGACCTACATTTGCTGACCTTAGGCTCAGCACAGGTAAAGGTGCTAGTTGCAGATTTTGCAGCAGTAGACTGAACTTAGTGACTAAAAAAAAAAAGAGTGCCTCGCTTTGGTCAGGACTGTGAAGCACTATGGAAAAATTTTCTCAAATACTTAAACTAAACTTCAACCAAATATGTAGCTTACGGTAGTGGTTGAAGTTCAGTTCAGCATTTGTATATTTTTGTCTTGCTTACGGCAGTGGTTGAAGTTCAGTTGAGCATGGGTATCTTTTTTCCCTTATTATCACTTGATGTTGAATCTCCAAAAGGTAGCAATGCTTTTAGTTTCTTCTGACAGCTGGAGCGGGCTTGTCGCACAGGGTTATGAGACGGACTTTAATAAGTCGGGACTGATCAAGCATTATATTTGTCTCTGTTAGAATCACCTTAACCATTGCTCTTCTTCCCCTGCCCCTCCCCTCTTTCATTTCTCCGTCAGTTGGACTGGTCTGGTGGCCAAGAACTACGAGATTGAGAGAGCCTGCCTGGAACTGGAGCAGGAAGTGGAGCGGCTGAGGCAGGAACAGATGATCCGACACACCAAGGAGGAGTTCAAGACCCAGCAGATGCTGCAGCAACCGCTGCCACTCCACCAAGGAGACAGAGGCCGGATGGCCGGTGACGAGAGTGACGAGAGTGGAGATGAAGCTGACTACTTCGCAGGCGACAGGTAGCCGCAGATCTAGCGACAGGTAGCTTCAGACCTACCCAAGGGAAACCTTGGAAAGATACCCAACTGATCACCGAGACCTTCAGGACGTGATGGGGGACAGTGTCCGAAATGGGCTCTGGCTTCATCTGCTGTCCTCAGTAGCCCGTGCATTGTCAACGAGTGAAGACCTAACCCTAGCTCTAGATTCAGATGTATCCATTTAAGGTCTCAACCTTGCCCTCTGCGCAATCCCATTGGCTAATTTCTTACAGCTGCCCTGCCCAGAAGTGTATTCTTTCATGCCCTCCAGCAACAAATGAATAGAATTTTGTTGTGCAGGGTCTTTGAAACTCAGAGCATTGACCAGACACACCTGCTCTTGGTTTGTAAACTTGTGATGGTGAGACATACTTCAGCTGACCCCTATAATTTAGATGTCGATTATTTTTAACTATACCTGTACTTCAGGATTTTTGAACTTTACCCATACAAATATGATTTACATTTTCTTTATTTTCGTTTGTAGTATGAATACACACTTCTGTTAAAAAATGACCGACTTAATGTAATTCATTGGAATGAAGGATTGTCAATAAATTTCTTGTGTTTATACTGAAGTCGTTCATGTTAATCAGTTCCCTGTAAATTGTTGTTTAAGACAATAGAGGGCGAACTTTAATCTTCCTTAAGGTTTATTTAGGGACCCGATCTGGTTACATGTACGGAAAAATCGAACCATGATGGGCGCCGGATCAAATATGTGCCGAGAGGCTTGTTATACATGTACCTGTAATTGTTCTGACACCTGTAACGGCATAGTGTGTAAGAATTTGGTGCAAAAGAATTGGTAGTAACAGTCGGCTGTGAAGCACAAATATGTCCAACTGTGCGGAATGAATACGCTTGTAGGAACATCCTTCTAAAATGGCATCATTCCAGATAACCATGGAAGAATCATCGTCATTGTTCACCGACGGATGGGGATTTCAAGCGTACTTGTAATAAATAATTATGCCCCGTAACCTACTCGGTAATTGCCTCAAATTTGTTCCAATTTAAAGATTGCACAGGCCTTACTATCCTAGTCATCAGTCCACCAGCTCGCCCATGTAGCAAGCCAGTTCACGGCATAGCAGCCGTATATACAAGCCCAAGATCTTGAGCAGGCCCCAGATGTCCTGGGTGCTGAAGATGGTGTCCGAGAAAGTGAAGGGTAGAGTGGAGGGGAGAAATCCCCGGCCGTATTCCACCATCCACGTGCCCTCTGACCACTGCACCATGGTGACGTCTCCCCACACGTGCAGGATGGTGTCGCCTATGGATAAGACGTTGACAATTTCAGTCGAGTTAGCTATACATGTGTCGCAACAGCTTCAAGTTTGAAAATCTGCAGCAAAGAAACATTTCACCTGCCAAAACAGCAGGTGAAATGCAGCCCCAACACCGTCGAATGTTTGCTTGACTCCACTTTCTGGGTGGAGAGCTACTGAATGATTCGGGATATGATTCATTGCTCGATCTCTAATCAGCAAGTTATTGAAATTGATGCATGATCTGTCTTCGTCTCTGAAAGATAATTGTGAGAAATGAAATTTTGTGACGGCCAAATGTTTTGCCTGTTTATCAGAGACCTACCTGGGTGGAAGACTTGGCTGACTGTCGTGCCCTCTGACCACTGTCTGAACGTCCCGGTCAAAACTGTGTCAGATATATTGGCCCAGTAGCGGCCTAAGAGTAAAAAAGGGAATTTCTCGAAATCAGAGATCGAACTGATAATATAAAGTTATATCGCACATGTCCCCTTGAACTGTAATGCATATGTACCAGGATGCTTTTCCTTTCAAGTTCACTACAAATACATTTCGTGGATGGGTTAACTGACGCAGGCATGGTTTTGCGGCGTGACATACCCAAGGTACTAGTGGTGTAGTGTAAAAGACCCATCCAATACGACCAGCTTTATTATTTATACCACCTATTCACATAATATAATAGACAAAATATTACCCTCTGACCAACCTGAGTGACCAACGGTGTCCACTGCCGTGCCGAAGAAGATCACGTATTCGGTGATGGAGGCGTGGATCATACACATAGCACCTTTCCAGCCTCCCGCGTTGACGAACATCCACTGGGCCTCCTCTGGTGGTAGGATGTGGCCGGGGTAGCTTTCCATGAGCTCGGCGTGGACCTTGTCGAAAGCCTCCTGGTGGGGGAGCCCTGCGAATGAGGGAAATCGGTGAAGATAGGGTGATGCAGTTCATGGTTATGGTGAGCCGAACTCAAGGGGGTGATTCTTGATGTTTAATGGTGCCTGTTTGATCCTAACAATCATTTGACTATTTTAAAATCGCACGATCTTTTTTTTAAAGAAGCTTGGAATATGACAAAGAAATCATTCCACGAAGGTCAAAATTCAAGTCTTCGATCGAATGTACAACAAATAACAAGCAGATCACCATATTCATCGTCAAGGGTGTGGCTAGAGGGGGTGGGGTGAGGAAAAGCCAAAAGGCGGGTCAAGTAAGATTTTCGTTTTCACGAAGGGCCACACATCTTTGTTAATACATTTGCAGTGGTGCGCGTGAACACGTGTCCCGGCCCCCTTCCCTCAGAAAATACATTGCGCAGAAGGTCCAGGAAGAAGGGAAACGTGGATTTTCGATGTCAGGAACGGACGTGCATCTTTGCTAATTGATTTCAGCTTATTACAACTGAGTTCATTTCAATTACTTGGTTCAGGCAAAAGGTTACCTTAAAGAATCCTTTGAGGATTTTTACTGCATAAACTCGTTGGATAGGCCTATTGGCACTTTCTCAGTTTTAAAATAGGAGAAACTCCTCGGAAGATTTCTCGAAAACCAGTTTTTTCTTCAAAATCTAGGTGGCGATAAGTCAGTTTTATCGACAAACACCGTTGGCGAGAATGGCGAGAAGGGGGAAAGGAAGGGAGAATTCACATAAGTGTCACGTCTGGGAATCAGACTACCATTACACACGTGAAATTTGCCGACGGTCTGTCGGCAAATTTCATGACGACAACCCTTCCCCCTACTTAAAATGGTCTGGCGACGTCGGTGTTAATTTGATGTAGTCGTCAACTTACCCACGTACTTCTCGGCGATTCTGGCTAGCGTCTGATCATCAAGGAGATAGCTCTTAGTCTCCATCCAGTAGTGGATTCCGACGATGCTCAACCCCAGGACTACCAGGGAGGAGAAACTTACTTTGGCGGCGGATTTATACTTCATTGCTGACGAGAAGGACGCACGCTCCTTTAAAGCGACAGAAATGGCACACTATGAGCTGTCCCTAATGGAACACTTTATGCAGGCTGGGCGGGCTGGTCCTGGTAGTGGTACGACTGCCATGCATGAGTTCATCATACATGAAATCGAACCCGTAAATCTGTGAGAGCATGTGGTAATACACACACCTAATTCAGCCCTTCAAGATTGGTTTTTTTTGTTTTGCCTTGCGTACAGTCCCTACTATATGCTGGTACCGGCCGGTTCGGTTCAAGCAGTGCTAAAGCTATGCTGTTGGCATGCTCGAGCACTCACGTGTTCCCGAAATAGGCTAGGGCCTCCGTGTACCTGTACATGTACCGTACATGTCACGTACATGTAGTTACGCCATACGATAGAAACCTAAGTTTAAGATTTTATTTGCGTTCGTTTTACGTTGTCGGGTTGAAAGGTCGGAGTAACTCACATGAACATGGACGCCATTGTGTGGTTCACTTCTCTCGATGATTTGGCTGTGTGCACAACTGTAATACCCCGCACGCAATTTAATTGAGCGCAGTCATGCACTATGATTGCAATTTCAGTCATGCACTGTGACTATTTTTTAAGGAACGACTAGGCCCTATTGTGAGGCATGAACTTCACTAAAAATTCCTGTTTACCTTTCAACAGTGGATCTGCTTCAAGACAGTCGGAACTGTGGCAACGAACTAAGTAGAAACTCCTTCAAAATTTATCACACTATCGTATTATCTACGATAGTGAGAGACCAATATAGTTTGCCCTTAGTTTGAAAATTAATGTGGGCACACCATTCATTTCGGTGGACCAGAGATCTTAACTTAAATCAGTGCGTTGTACATCGGTCCAGTTATTTAGCCTTGTGCACTCTGTAACTATTAGTGTTACTCTTAGAATAATTGCGGGTATTTATTGAGGGTCAAAGGGCATTTAAACTGAATTATAAGAAAATAAAAGCTCGAAATAGTTTTTAAGTTCTCGCTATCTATTCATAGAATGAAGTTCAAAAACTGACCCTAAGCTGACACGATAAACTTTAAAGGGACGGCTAATTCCTGAAACCTATTCAACGGCCGAATGCCATGAAGCTTAAGCGTACCACTCTCGAAGAACTACACTCCAAAGGGTATTTACACCTAAAAGTGGGCCAAGGTAGTCTTTAAAGAAACCAGTCCAGTGTTTTTAAAATCCGATATGGGTACTGAATTATGATCTTTTATTTCAAAACCGAGATTTGCACTTTTGTCGTTAGTAACCGAATTTCGACTTTGAGTTAAATAAAATACAGCCTCTATAGATATCTGGCCTCGCTTTTATTCTTGGTTTAACCCACTCCAACATAGAAACAAAAGCCACCGGCTTGTAATTCGGAAATGTTACCATTTAAAGGTTGATTATTCATGTACTGATCACTTTAATTGATAAATGCCAAGATAATGTTACCATTTCGAAAACTAGCATTCCCACAAAACATTTGCGGCATACCACCTCGAGTGTATCATCTTCAACTACTAACTCTGAAATAGCTGTAAATCCCAGTCCCCTGTGGCACAACTGGGGAAGGGTGAGCAGTATGAGCTGCGGGGGTACTATTCCAAGCCCTCCCCCTTGACAACTCCTGGGAAGCAAGCAGCCTGCGCCATTGAGACACTAACAACGATGCTTCTACTCCCTGCTCAGTCCGCGGATAGTCTTTGCCCATATACTTGGTGAACAATGCAGCCAAGGAGTCGGTGTCTAAAGTCCTTTGGCTTCTTACGGCTTCATCAGCCTCTTTTAAGCATGGCGGACACAATAGGGTGGCGCTATGAAGTGGGTAAATTTAGAGTAAACATAAAATATTTTTAACTAAACCAAATAGCGCCCTCCTCTTGTATCTGCCATGCCTCAAAGAGGCTAATGAGCACATGCATACCCAACGTAATCAAATAACGAGTTTGTCGAGGCATGCTCTCCCGGCATCAAAACACAACATGATCGCTAACATAAGTATATGTTAATATATATGTAGAGGACACTCTAAGAACAACCCGGAAAATGAAATGTAATCCAACCATCTCGACGAACCAACACAGCTCCTGATTTTCCTTCTTGTAATCCAAACCTCCTCTTGCCCCCCCCCGCGCTCACCCAACTAAGGGGCACACATAATGGCCCTGTGACGCGGGTCGCATCGAGACGCTTGTTTTTGGATACGGTCCGCCGTCGCTTGGTCTCTTCTGCGACTGTCGTAGCTACACAATAGGAGATCTTTTCGAGCGCAATTTGCATGACAGAAGACGAATAACGATCTGTTACATCATACGCTCAGCGATTAACAAACGAGCTTACTGAATTACTACTCGGCTACCGTCCGACACTTAGGCACGGTTTGCTTACCAAGCTACCAAATGGAAACAAAGATGGCTGTTGGTTGGTTTTGAGCGGATGAAGATTGGAGGGTGAGATGCGTTCTTTCGTAATTCTTGTAAGTATCAAAACTGCTTCGAAATCAAAACTCCTCAGAAGCGAAAGCCAAACGGCCTCTCTTTATAGTTCATGCGCTTTTAGGTTGTGCCATTTCTCAACGGTTTGCTTGAGGATTATATATATCAGTACACGGAACATGTCTGTTGTGTGAGGTCACCTCAACGTCTCTGACTTTCAGCTTCACTTCATACCTATTTGTGGCAGGGCATTTTATTGTAATAATTCTGAATTGATCAGATGTCAGCATCCTCTCATATTCTGTACAGTGATAGCCCAAGAGGGCGTTGTGCAGACTAGTACAAGATCTCAAAGAAATTGTCCAATCGAGAGGAGCTGTAGGTGCTAGTGTATGCGTTTTTTCTTCTCAAAGAACTTGAGACAGTCGACTATTACATTTTTTCCGTTAGATCTGGTTGTTATGCACAGAGTGGAAGTGAAATCTTATTTGTATTTTCATTATTTTCTAACCTTTATATTTATGCTAGTAATTTTAACACCCAAAACAGAAGGACGTGTAAATGCATAGGCCTACATGTACTTCAAAAGTATTTATTATTGAATACACTAAGTGTTTAGGACGTTCTCAACGCGCACGCGCAGGCTTTCCGAATTTTCCCCAAACGCGTCACTTCCTAGCATTACGAAGACGGCGCCACCTTGGTACAGGATGCCTCATTTTCGTTTGGATCCTTCATTGTTTTGAATGCAGGAGGTAGATCAACGACAGTCATGATTACTGGAGGAAGCTCGACGACTTTGCCAGTACATCGTTTTATGTTTATTCTGACCGTGTTAATTTTCACGGCGTTCGGCTCAACGTCGGCTCTGGACTACGCGTCCAACATCTCGGTGCGCGCAGACATCACGTCCGCTACTCTGACATGGATCGCGGCAAGCAACAGCTCGGCTGACAGCTACACCTTGGCCCTGCTGCTGGACGGCGGTGCCACTTCCCGAACCAATTACACCATCAGCGATGTAGCTACCGAGACCTACACCCTAACAGACCTGACGTACTCCACATACTACACCGTGAACCTGTACACGGTGGGCAGCGGCGGGCAGACAGTCGGTGTCTCCACGCTGTCTTTCTGGACGCTGTATAAGGTCTGGAACCCCAGCTTTATCGCCGCGCTGTGCGTGCTCGGATTCATTTTCATCACCTTAGTGGTCATGATGGCACTCAAGTCTGCGTACCTGGCAGAGAAAAAAGATCCAGACGAGAAACCGGTCCTGGAGGACGAACAGACGGACAAAGGGGTCAAGAAGAACAAAGATACGGATAGAAACGGTGCTAACGTGGTCATTTTGTGATTCTTGGGACGGTATTGCTGGCCTCTTTTCTACATGCGGTTCACGATGGCCGAAATAGCTTGGACACTACAACTTGTAGAAAAAAAAATCATCGACCAAGTGGACTAGAAAATTGGCTTCCGAAATATTACCCTTGATTCATTTCAGTTTACGCCTAATCTGACAGAGGAAATGATGTGACATGTCCAAGTACTTACACTCTTTTGTTTTACAGCCTTGGACAAAGAAAAGTTAAGCCCTAGCCACCTCCGAAGATTCGGCGATGCGATATTATGTGAGATATCCAGGCCTGGAAATACTTCATTTTTCGCCTGGATTTAGTCAAAAACCGTCACGGGGGAAATCGATGGCGAATGGAATTAACTTACAGAGAATAACTGACCCTTTTTAAAATGATCTAGCGGAACGAGGATATTTCAGATTTCTTGTACTTACACCTGTTGCAGTGCATAACAGTGAAGATTTAAAGTGGGATTCCTTAATTAATTAACACTCAAGTGCACTCCCTATGTCAAATCTTGTTTTCCATACAGTTGTATTTTTATTTAATTTTGCTGAGGTTTGAAGTTTTAAAACTGACACGGAAGTAATTTACAAATTACGTTGGGGTTTTTCCTCTGAACTATGCACGCCCTTATATTGAATGCCACCAATTTTCGCCTGTGTTAGTTTGTCTTTCGATTGCATCTCTTTGTCCGTTTTAACTGTACTTGAATAAAGGGAAATTTTTACCAGTCTGTTTGAAGGACCCTTCTGTTAATATCACTTAAATGAATTCAAGCAATATCTATTTTCGTTTAGGCAGCGTTTTATTATCAAGTCGTTTCTACTGTAACAAAATATAACTTTCTTCAGCGAGTACAACTATTTACACAGCAAATATTGTCTAAAATGTATACATCTGTACTGATCGCACTACTTTGTTGGAGTTGTTCAAAAGGCTCTATAGGTGAGTTTTTTGATAACACGAACTTGAATTAGTTAAAGTTTCGAAACAATCCTCAGTTCTGCACAATATACAAACGCTTCACATCGAGTGAGATTTTTTACAAAAGGAGAAGTAAATGTTATCAGTACATTAAGCAGTAGTACAGAGAGGGCGCATTTTCCATCATTGGTTAGCAAGATACACACTGCAGCTGTTCTTCATTCATAAATGAGCCAGTTCGGTATTCAAACAGCGCATGCCCAGTCCTGGTACCCATCACCAAACCATACGCTGACTTGCGGGCGCTTGTTCCTCGACGACCTTGGCTTTTTGAAATACGCGACCTGGCCCATTTGCCTAAGATTCTGTCATCTGTATCAAGTTCATGAAACAACTTAATAAATTACACGGTCGCCAGCAAAGAGATTCCAATTAGATGTCCAAGATGGGCATGGCCAAATATTTGTCACGAAAATCTTTTGATTGAACCACAGACATCGGTAATAGCTCTACTGTAAACTGCGTGTACATATATAACTTTAAAGTTTTCCTTCTTTAAGCGTACTTTTAAATTTTAGGAACAGTTTTTCTGAGTATTTGACTTATCCCACAAGGTACATATGGGTCATTCCATGAGGTTGGGGCACAATTTGTGACGGTGTCCTTGTTACATGGGTAACTTTTACCACCTGTCATGGCCTGTAGAGGAGGTCATTTACTCTGTAAAAATAACACAGATCTCTGTGTCCAGCCTTGCAAGATATATAATTTGGAATCCACATGCCGGGAAATAGCTGTTCAATTTACGGAACCCACGTAACAATGGACACCACCACAAATTTTGCCCAACCTCAGGGAATGACCCACATATCAAAAGTGGTGTACATGTATTTAAAAAAATGAATTGAGTTCGCGCTGTTTCATTGAGCGCCTATTTTATTGCATGAGTGGACAGTTGGGTTGAATGCTATACAATATACAGGGAATCATGAATTTTCCCGATAAATCCAGTAAAGGCACCCTAGAGGGTAAGATGGGCTGTATTCCGTTAAACACTTTGGTTTTGCTTACATCACAAAACTTCGAGCGCAATGGAATTTTGAAAGGGCTGAAAACTTCGAAAGTCGGGCTTTGAAGCTGCTGTCGACGTTCGTGCATAAAGTAGCCTAATCAACAGAAGCTTCACTGTAGTCAACATAAACATACAACCTAAGGGCATGCTAGCCAGCGGTCTTGTTATGCCAGCCAGTGGTCTTGAGTGATGGGAGACTTTGGGACGCTGGTGGCAGCAGACATACCGGTCCTTTTTCACAGTATTGACGGGTGCACCCACGTAAATAGCCACAAGAGCCGTCGGCCAAGTTCATTGATAAAAGTTATACACTCAAAATATTTTATATGAGAGAGTCCTGAGAGCCATGAAATAGAGGAATTGTAGAAATACGGCACTGAACCTCTGGCCTGGACTTTGGGCTTCTAATTCTGAGCAATTGTGTGGAATCGGGTCCAAAAGAAGTGCCATAGCACTATTTGGTGGTTTTGCAGAGGGATGGTTTTTCAACAGGACTACTTTTCTGGGCAGGGACATTATCTTCATTTTAGGGTGGTCTGCTTCGGGTGAAAATTTGAAAGAAACTTGAAAGGGGACATGTCGAACATCGTTTTTCTGTGCAGCCTGAACAACTGTGAGGGTTGTATTTTTAAAATATTTGTGAAGTATGGGGATTTATCACTACTGTCTGGAGAATTTACTTGTTACGGTGCACCCTGAGGGTGCTCAGAGAAATGGACGCATGCTCAGAACAACCTAATGTCTCAAAGTCTCCCAACAATATACAGTAGTAATCTATGATAGTGGGTACCCTCCAAGATAAAACTGGATTTGGCTGCGTCCGACGATTGTGGCTGCAGTCTCGAGTATAGTAACATACGTGGCTGTTGAAGATTGCTGCAGTCGCTGTAGCCAGTGGCTTCCGTTGCCACATGAGTAATTATTTTCCAGTCGTGGCTAACACTTTCAGACGTAGCCCATCTGTCTCGTGAGTTTAGATGGGCGGGCTGGTCCTTACGTCGCCAGAGGGTGTCTCAGCGCTCGCAACAGGATCAGAATCGACAGATGAGTCGGGTCTGGGTCTCTTGGGTGCCGCTCTTTTCTTACCCTTCTGCTTCTTCTTGGAGTTCCGCTGGAAGGTTTGCCAGCCCTGCTCCAGGAGTTCCTCCTCTTTGCGGGTCATCTGCTCCTTGTGCTTGTTGCTCGACACAAAGTCCAAGACACCGAAGATGATGAAGCAGAGGAGCAAGAAGATGGCGCAGGCGATTGCTATGTACGTGCTGTTGCCGGGAGGCGTTTCAAATGTGGCGCAGCCTGTCTCGGAGGCACCAGACTCGACTTTGGTCGTGACGCAAGCGTTGTAGTCCCTCATATCGTCCAAGTTAAAGAGCTCGTATGACGTAGCCGAACCGTTGTTCACTGTTTCAACTTCTCTCGATGTGCTACCAACTTGAATTGTAACGGTAAACCCTATTACACTCGTATTTTCTGAAATGGCCAATCTCCAGCGCAAGAGGGCGCTATACGCATCAACGCTTTCGACAGTCACAGTAATACCACAGTAAGATGAGTGAGGAACCAAACTGGTGAAAACTGTCAAAAGACCCATTAAATGGAAGTAGGATAACCCTTTGGGCGTCATGATTACGTCAGTCCTGCAAATGCCTCGCACTGTGAGAAAAGAAGAGAAAAGAAAAAGTTTTCGTTCGCATTAGTTTGTTTGACTTGACATCGATTGCTATTTTAATTGTTATAATTATATGCATTACGATCAAAGTACTTGGCAGAGGTAAAACGGGAGGGAGGAGGGGTGCAAAACCCGACATATGTCTTGTCGATTGTAACACCCGTGTCCCTTCCCTCTGTGACCCGCTCAGAATTTCTGAGCAGACAATATAGAGGTCTGCAGTGTTGTATCCAGGCCATCATGAGTCCCCACAAGCCGCCACAAGTCGGACACGAAGTCATCGAGTTTCAAGTCAAGTCACAAGCTATTCCAATGAATTATGAAAAACAAAAGTTCTTCGCTACCGTCCGTTCCCTGTTATACTTTTGATTGACTTGTGATTTAGCTTGCTGTGGAGTCGACTTACTGGACCTCTTGCAGCTCTCTGTATTGTTTGAACCATTGTCCACAGCCACGCCCCCGTCACCATCTCTCTCAAGTCCCTCAGCATGTTAGAGAATGTTGATTTTTTTCTTGAAGATTGTACTGGGTAAAATCCGGACAGAACTGCAGCAAATAAGTTTGGAACTTCTGGGCGTTGGCCCCGAATTGAATTTGGCCCCGGACAAACAGTAAACAAATACTGATACAGAGTATAATATGGCAAATAGTATGTCAGATCTGGGGTCTCACCTAAAAAAGAGCTCAATCTCACAGTCTGAACTGTATTGATGAATTTAATCAACCGAATCAGAAAATCAATCTGAAGAGCAAATCCCAGGCTTGTTAACCTTAACCCCCCCTCACAAGGGTGTATGTAAAAATCATATTGAAATCAGAGAATTTGGGACTTGGGCCAAATGTTGACTCGATGGCAACTTAATGAATTCTGCCAAGTTTTGCTTTACATAACGGATAATACGTAGGAGAAGATATTGAGATCAATGCAGAGAAAGGCGAATATTTAAATGTTGAAACAACTTATCAATCAACCGACTTTTATTTGTGCATTTTGGCACAGAATCACTCGGTATTGTCCAGGTATTTAGGACAGGTGTCAGGTTTGTGCAAGATATCGACAAACATGCCTTTTGACTGCCTGAACCCACGTCGCTGCGAAATTAATCTTTCATGTAAAGTTGACCTCGTGCAGCTTGTACGTGTATTTTGGGAGCTGCACAACGCCTTCAGCACACAGGCTGCCGCAAAGGCATCGACGTTCGGTGGCTACACACCACTGTGTGTATTAAAAACACCATTCACTTCTTTTAGAAAATGTCTCAAAGCAAGGGTCAAACCCAGCTGACCCCTCCGTACTTCTCAACAAACCATGAACCCGTTTCTTAGCAGTCCACGAACACAGATGCCGCCATTTTGACTGGCGTGGCCTAATCTAATTGCTTTCGAAAAGGTACCATCATTTGTGGGAATGTTTCGTCACCATACATCAGAAATTCACCTGCAATGAACCCTTCGGTGAAGCAACCGGGAAATAACTAAGTTTGTCGATTGGGGACTTTCATAATCATGGACTACGATCTAACGCCCACTGTCTGGGTGCAAAATGACAGCCAACATTTCCCTATGCGAAAACTACTGTATCCAGTTTGTCCACTGCCTGCACTTGATTATCCTGCATGTATTGCGGTACATGTACAGGCTATGTCCTGTATTAACATTAAGCCTACACGTTTGTACTGTGAACTCCTGACAGTGCTGATGCGAATTTTATTGCTCATGTGTCAAACAGTGATGTCATAAAAGCTAGAAGTTTCGCTTTGCATAAAATGTCGAACAATTTTTGAGGGGGTGCCATCCCTTTTTTGCACTTCTTTGTCTTTATTTTTATGGTGTTTTGGCACGATGTTACATTGCCGAGTCCGTATGGCAAGCCTTGATCTGTGAACAGGGTTTATGAACGAATGGTTTTAAGTAAGCTCTTCTTTGGGGCTCAGACAAACCCCCATACTGTGAGATACTGTATCTGAATTGACACCAGTGCGACAGCACCAGAAGTTGTCAGGCATGTTTAAAAAAACTCAAAACCAAGGAGGCTGTCTTGATGTTTTCATGCAATGCAAATAGGCAGGAAATGGCAACATACACAGCTGCAAATTAATAACAAATTCACCGCAGTGTTCATGCCATGGTGCCTTCAGGCTCTATACTGTACATGAAAAGTCTCCATTGTTATCATCAGAACTGAGATCATCGTCGAGTGCATGAGATCAAACACTTTATTAAATACACATGCGTCAAGGTTTACGATCTAAGATTAGATTCCAGCCCTAGAAGGAGCTTCCACATCTGACATTTGCCTTGTTATCACTACATTATTTATGTAAAAGCATGGGGATTGCAGGCAGTACAATAATTGTGTAGTTTACGTCTTTCCTTTCTCAAACACTGAACAACTCACGTGTGTCTGAAAAGTAAATTATGTGATCCCTAAACATGTTTTGGTGCGTGTCACAAACGATACTATTCATCGAAGGGAGACCTATACAGCGATCAGTTTCCGGAGTCTCTTCTGTTTTATCTTGGACAAGTTAAATGGTTTTGTTTCCTGGATGGGCGTATTTCCCGGTTACAGTTCATGCAGGAACTCAGTTCAATGCATGGTGACGTACAAAGCCTCCAACAGTGCAGTGGCCTCCTCAGTGTGAACAATTTTGTACGGTATGGCCCATTGTGGCTGGCAGTGTGAAAAAGTGAATTCAAGTGTTTCTTACGACGAGAAATCGCATTATCGACGACACATAGAACTGGGGTCACTGTGTCAACAATAAATTTATGAGTTCGGATGTACAAATACTCCGGAAAAAGGCACACACCCATGGTTAAACAGAAATTAAGAAGATAAATGATACGGTCGACGTGCAGTAGTTTCTTAATAGCTCGTGGCGTGTTTCCCTTGTTTTAATATTGGACAGGATATTTGTTTTCATCTTTCAAAGAGATAGTAGAAACAGAATAGGCAAAGTCAGTTACTATGGCATTAACTCTTGTAAGTAAGTACAACGTACTTTATGTTGAAAGCAAGTTTAGGTTACAAAAGTCAATAGGTGATGGCTGCGTGGTTGGCAGTTTTCACGACAAACATGAACACCAATGCAGAGCACTATGTGTTTGTAATATCATGTAATGTGGGTATAAGTGACTCACTTGGCAAGACACAGATGGGCGCGTCTCATATGCACACGGCAAATCAAAGAGACGCGAGCCTTTTCTTTTAATGAATGTAGTAAGGCTTGATGGTATAAGAAGGCTCTCTGAATACAGAGAGAGAACCTGTGTTTCACAGGACGATTATGTCTGACACACACAAAAAGCATCGGTGCTGGTACACGAGGCAAACATGCATTTATCTCGTCTGTTGTTCTCAGTTCTCAGAAATATTTGATTATCGTTATCTTATAAATTTACCGCAGTCGTTCGAAACGCTGACTTAATGGTAGTACTCTCACCTCTGTAGACGAAGTATCTCCCGCTAAAGAGCCGTCAATGCTGCCTTTCCGGTACAGTGTCACAAAATCAGCTAAATGATGAATGCCAACCGTTGCTCGGGCAGGAATTATTCTCAGTGCGTGCACTGCGGGTGGGAACTTGTGCGTTCATCAATGGAGGAATAACATTATGCATTCGTATACGACTCTATTTTTGCTGGAAATGAGGTATCGCCGTGGAATGCTGTTATGTGGGAGGACATGGTATTTTCTGCGTTACACACAGCCTCGGGTTGTACTACGAGAAGAAGGGTTCTTAAGTTCCACGAGTCCACCTACTACGTAGCTAGGCCTCCATCATAATTAGACCGGGTCTTCCAGTCAGAATTTACACTAGTCTGCGAATCGGCGCAGTGTCACACCCAGACTGAGGTGCCTTACAGGTACATGTACATGTAGGCGTAGATGCCGACACAGCTGACCTATACATACACATGTACATGCGTAGTCAGTCCTCGACCTCAACCCATGCATGCCGCGTTATTATGATCAACTGTGCAACGGAGTGAGATCTCGACTGGATATTATTATTATTGGTACATATGTTGCGCGTGAATGGAACTACATTGAAGGTTAACAGACTGTGAATGTAGTCAGTCCTCGACCTCAACTCATGCATGCCGCGTTATTATGATCAACTGTGCAACGCAGTGAGATCTCGACTGGATATTATTATTATTATTATTGGTACATATGTTGCGCGTGAATGGAACTACATTGAAGGTTAACAGACTGTGAATGTGTGACGTCACCAAGGTTACGAGACTGGAATATAACACTCAGTAAATTGAAAGCCTATAAATAGAAGAGACTTTACAGTATTTGCTCAACAACTCATCTTCGCTTTTTAATAATGGATGAAATATTCTTTATTTTGATCGTATTTTGAAAAGCAACTTAACATTTAAGTGACAAAGTCTTAGCAAAATGTAGAAAAAATTATTCTGTCCTTTACAAACCCTAATTATATTTTTCAGCACAATCACAACTTGAATGACTGACTTCAAGAAGATCAAGTCATAACTACGACGAAGGCGTTCTGCATTAAGTGAGCAAACATTAATTTCTGGAATAAAATAGCAGAATGTTTGAGCAGAAGGCGAACGAATGAGTAAATGAATGTTGCAATATTGCTACAATTTATATGCCTACAGAGCAAGGTGAATATTTGTTTGTTTTTTGTTAGATAATGAACTATGAACTATTCCAATGTCTGTTATTTTACTTTACTCGTCCCTGTCGCAAGCGTCTTTACATGCCCCTGGAAAGGGCAGCTATTTTATGAAGTATGACATAAGTTTTTTGAACTCTGATTGGATAGACGGATAGACGGAGTTCATGTGAATTGCAATGTGCCTTTGACACGTACGAGCGCAATGAATGTAGTGCAGTAAACAAACGACCCACCGTTTTGTGTCTGCAGCTGTGGCGCGCTTCCTCCATCCACCGCATTCTGCGACGGTCATTTGCCCTCGTGCACATTCATGAGCGAAAAATTTCCTCGCTGTCATTTGAACATTGCCGATGTAGTGTAATTGATACAACTTAACTTTATGGTAAGTCTTATATGCAAAGAACTACAGATTTATAAAGTCATAAATTCCTGGGACGACGTTTTTACCAGACCCGGCATTTGACGTCTGGGTTCATGTAGCTTCCAGCAGGGCAGTTGAATGCGGCGTGGAATATTTCGTTGTTTTGCAGCGGGCCGATGACCCTATCAAAGTAACCAATTAAAGAGGATCATTAGGCCTACTGATAATGTTCAAGAAATTTTAATTGGATAGTGAAAGGTCTTTCAATATTTCAGATGCACAACTTTTAAATTGTCAGTTATCGGTCACATTCTAATACGCAAAGTTTTTCCCCGTTTGTTCGGAAAATGTCTTGGTTCCATGCCTATTCTGTTGTCGCAGCCTCAAAATGTTTGGGCGGCATTACTTATCAACTGAATAAAGATTTTGAAGTTGCACTAGTATTGATCACAATTTTTTGCAAAATTGTTAGCAAGGCAGATTATGTGTGTATTGTTGCGATGCAGAAAATGATAGAATGAGAGACGGGAACCAACCTGTATCGGCCGGGGCTGTGCTCGTTTTCGATTGCATTATCCGCTCCCGCCGGCGTGTAAACACTGCACCATAACTTGAATTTAAACAAAAATAACATGACAATGCATGAAGAAAAAGTCTCCGGTTACTGTACGGTTCGAGTTTGCGTGCCGGGTCCCTTTCAAAACCATGAAACATTTTGAAGTAAATCAAATTATGTCATCGTATACACCCAATTTCTCAACGCGTGCGCAGCGTGCAAAAACCAGTCTCCATCTCCGTCGCAGGCACACCGAATGTCGTTCATTTTAAGCATGACCCAGTTGAGCATGCGGATTCGATACTCCGTCGACAACTGACCACTCTCATTTTGGGTTAAAGATGGCTTCATCTCGGATGTCCTCCCAGGGAAACTGTTCAGCGATGGCCGACGATTTTAAGTAACGCATCTATATTTTCGTCACGATGGGGGGAAGTGGACATGAAGCATTAAGGCATTGGCTTGAGATTCTGCTTCGAGGAGTTATGGGGGTCATGGTCACTTAGCATATTAAACTTCAAGCAATTTTCATTGAGTAAAATCTTTTGATTTACCTGGGAAAATGACAGGAAGAACATTTGCTTGTTAGTTAATTCGATGCCTGGAAGGCGAGGGTGCTCAGACTTGTGATCGATATAAGCCTGGGGTAAGAATTTTGAAAAAGAAATTATTTAGAAGGGTGCTGGCATATCCACACACAACCATAAAATGATACTCTAACGTGTAACGGAAATGTAATTAGTTTGAACATAAATGTAATTCTTGTGGCGTTGATACCTTATAAGCTTCTCTTAAGCCTCCATTGTCAGCGATGTTTTCTCCTTCTGTCTTAACTCCGTCAAGCTGTGTAAAAGAATTAAAAATGTTTTGTATTTTGGCACTGTATCATCGAATACAATTGCAGACAAATTGGTTCCACGCAATGACGAGACAAAGAGTGTTCTAGCTGAGCGGAAGTCCGTATATTTCGTCAAAGAGAATTCGGTTGACGGTAACAGGAAAAAACAAAAAGTAAATCTACATTTTTGTTGTTCTCAGGCATGACGAAGTCGGAGTACTGGTTGATGATGCACTGAGCTTTCGCCTTGAAATTGTTAATGGATTGCTGACTCCACCACTGTCTGTAATATCCATCTTTGTCAAACAGTCTTCCTGTGAAGAGAGCAAACATCATCAACGATTTGTTGCACTAAAATTGGAACGACTTTTGCTACTACGCAAGTAAGGTATTTGAATAGTATTTTGACCTTAAGTTTTGGACATTAAAGATTGAAGCAATCATAGCCTTGCATGGAATGTTTTTGTACGAAGATGACCTCCTCCCGTGGCTTTCATTTTTGCCCCTCTGAGCCCAAACGATAACCGTAGCCTCTTAAAACTCGAGTTGAACGAGACTCTGCTCTGGTGATTTGCTAGCTGCAGAAAAGCAAACTTACCGCTGTTATCGAAACCATGCGTTATCTCGTGCCCAATGACCACGCCTATACCACCGTAATTGGAATACCTGAGGGAGAAATCAGGAATGCGTGTTGACGTGAAAAGAAGACTTATTAACCTCCAATTGCAAAATGGAAACATTGAAAAAATAACATTGTATCATTTATTGGAGCAAATGGGGGAAGAGAAACCAACTACCGCCCTCTACGATTCGTTTAAAAAGAAGAAGCACTATTTTGTATTTTCTTACATTCAAAAACTTGGATAGTTTTTAGTAATTTCATTTCAAAATGTTACTGGAAGGATGCAAAGTTACCCCAAAATGATGTTTTGGATGACCTGCGGGGGGGTATCACTTACCAGGGGAGCTCCTTGGTGTAGAAAGGAGGCTGTAGAATGGCTGCTGGGAATACTGGGGAAAATACATTAAAAGAAACCCATGAGATAACGGGAGGCGAACGAGAGGGTCAACCAAAGAGTGGGTTCATTGTGTGGATAGGTGGGTAGAATTATTGTTTCACTAGTTGGTATTGGTCGCTCTTTTATTGATTGCTAGTTGATGAGTGTTGACTTATTTGACTGACTGGTTCGATTTAGCTGCACTTGCTTACTTTGGTGAGTGTTATAATAATTGGTTAGTCGGCTAAGGGTGTAGAGAAGGAAATTGGAAGATGGATCTATATTATACTGGTCGGTGGGTGGGGTAAGTTTTTAGGTTGGTGAGTTTGCTGGTAGGTGTGTGTTGGTTGTTGCTAGGTGCTTCAGGTAGATTGGTTGATTAGTGGATCGTTGGATGATGGGCTTGGTGGATTGGTCAGTTTGGTGTGAAATCTATGGGTTGAGTGTGGATGGGTGGGTGGTTTGGTTGGTGGATTCATGAGTTCCCAACAAGAAATGTGGTTATCGTTTGTTCCCAATCACACTTATGGCTACGAATCGTGAGCTGAGAGAGAGGAAGAATTCGGACAGTGCCTTTTTTTGACTGATGATTACAGAAAGATCGATGGCATATCTTACAAATTGAATTCCTGAGAGGAGAGTAGAACGCATTGACTTCGGTCGGCGACATCACAGACCACCTGAAACAAAACACAGTTAACATTAGCACGTGTACTGTAGACATAGGGTACCACATCTCTCTTGTTAAGGTATACAGTGCTCCGAGGCTTGTTCGAAGAAAAGCCAAAAATTACAGCTGAGAATGGAGTGTATGATTTGAAGAGCCAAGTTGAGAAAGCCGAAAAACCCAGTTTGGTTGTAGGCTACTTCACTGAGCAAATCGTATACTTACAGTAAGTTCACAACATCCACTGTCTGACGCAAGAGTGCCAAATTCCGTTGAGAAGTCCAGGTGCGGTACCTTATGCTGTTCTGAAAATACTCGTTTTCCTTAGACGTCAGCTGGAGGCAGGTGACAGTAAATATTATCTATGTTATCGTCACATTTAACGCAGGTGCGCTGCTGAATGATATCTCGAGAGGTCAGACACCAATACCGGGAGATGTGGGCTTATAGCTTCCGCCCCTTTTGACCAGGGTAATGGGCCAAATGCACGCTTTTCAGTGGATTCGGCAGAAAATGAAATGGGGCAGTAGTGTGACTCTTTACGTTAGATGTCAACGGTAGTTAATACGAACATTTCTAAGACATCAAAATCGCATCGTCTAGTGTTCAAGTCAAGATCCTTCCCCGTACGCCCACCCGCTCCCACCTCTGGATTTGATTGTAGGTTTCATAAAACGGAATTTCGCCATCATGTCACTCTTGACAAAGTCGAAATCTGCGCCCTTGCTTGGCAAGGTAAAAGTGGCTAAAGTGCAGTGACTCGCATGGCATCAAAAGCCATTTTGTCCTAGATGCATTGGAGACCCGATCCCTGGCTCTGGATTAATATAGAACTGAACTACACGTGTACATACATTGGCGTACTCAGCATCAAGCTTCGCGTTGTCCTTTATCCACTCCGGGTAGCCGATTTCGATTGTAATTGCATCTACCTGCAAGTGAAAGTGAACAGGCCTCATTTAAGTATGAAGGACACAATTTTATAGAGGGCTAAATGCAGTCGAAGTCATACTCTCTAGAATCAGTCTCTGATTCTCTCGCCCATCTTTTGACCGTTGGCTGAACGTGATGCGGCTTTGAACTGACCTTGCCTGCAGCCACGCTCTTATCTTCTTTCTGGAGCCAGTCATTTGTGGCCAGCATGGACTTGAAAGCCGCCTGCAGACCTTTAATCATGTCCAGTGTCTGACAAAAATATAGCAAAGTTAAACTACAAATGGTGATTGTAGTCGAACATCCACACAACTGAGTTTCCTAAATGTTTTGTTTACAACTGTTGGACATCAAACTACACAGCAGTATGTTTTGTGCCAAGTTACCGTAACGGTAGATTTGACGTGAAATTGTGTTTTGATGTGTGCCCAACAATGCATGAATGCATTAAATTTTGATGTTGAAACGATGTCAATTTATTAATTTCCATTATAGGAACATACTATGCAGATCTATCAAGTGATCAGCGGACATTCTTAAGAGAAAACCGTAATGCTTTTGCTTACATGTTCAAGCTAAAAATGATTGCAATAGCGACCCAACTTTGTAACATGGCTGAGTCGTGGAAGAGACACATTATCGAATTACTTGACACGACCTCTTCTGTAGTTCTAACAAACGTTTACATTGTTTGGGCATTAATTTAATGAGTATTTAGTACCGGTTGAGATAGTCCATGGAATAGATAAATCTACACTGGCGAATATGTGTACTTTTGTGAGGGGCCTTTGGAGGCCTTTATAGACTCTAGAGGCGGGTACTCAATGGGTTCGGTCACGGTTAAAACACTGAGCGGGGCGGACTACCACCTCGTTTTCTCCTCTGCTAATTTCTGAGCTAGGGGCACACAGGGGGCACAAGCCTTGAGTGGGGGGGGGCTGTCCTTCAGGCCTGTAACTGGGGGAGGGTGCACGGGGTATGTCCGCACCCCTACCCTCACACACACGCGCGACTAAAAGGTCCACTTTTGAGGCAAAAAAGATTTTGAGCTATAGTAGAACATTTTGCAAAAAAATGCCGTGCGCTTTGGTATCTTTCGCCTTGGTCAATCCCCTCTTCGGGAGTTTACTTGTAAAGTTGTTACGGGCCTGTCCTTTCGCCCCTGTTCTATGCCCTCCACCCCCTAGTTAGGCCACAGCAAACCAGGTAAATTTGTCACGCGGTTTGAAAGGAGTGCAGTAGTGACCACAAACCAACTGGTGTTATACTGAAGTGTAAAACAACGGTATACCTTCTGCTTTGCATCTGCGGGGAAGTAGTCGTCCACGTACATCTTCCCGGCGATGAATTCGTACTGGCTATTGGCAGTGGAGACGCACGTCTTCCAGCGGGCTGAGGAGGGCGTAACGCCCGACTGAGCCATTATGAATTTCCGCCGGATTGCCAGGAAAGCCTCGTTCATGAAGGGCACCATATGGGTGACCAGTCGCCATATCATGTAGTTGGCCTTCACTCTGACAGGTTAGAAGTTGCAAAAGTGAACCTTATTCAAGATGTCCGCGACAAGGCATATAATGGAGCATAGTTGCTGAATGCGTGATAAGAGCGGGGTCAAACCTTGAGAAATGATTGATATGCAGGATTGGACTGATAGAGTATCATCCTGTAAACTGTAGGCCTATAGGGTCGGAAAGTTGAAACAATCCTGCCTGACCTATCCCCCCCTCAAAAATGAAATTTTACAGGTGGGAATGAAGCGAATACACGTAGGAATTCTGATTTCCCCCCAAATCACTCAATTCAAACATTAGTTTGGTTGACGTACCTAAATAAGCTGATTCCGTACGGCGTGCGTGGCCAAAATCGAAAGCGGGGCGAACATTCCGTAAAACAACAATGGTCCGCTGATTTCTGATGATAATGCAGCAATGCATTGTAATGCTGAAATCAGTCCGATCGATTTTGTCCTACCTGTCGTCTTGCTCCGTGAGCCACGGTGTGACGGCGGCGACGTAGTTGGGCCTATAATTGTCGATGGGTTCGTCACCGGTGACACCGCCCACGCTTTCCGGTAACATGAGTTGGTATAAACGGACCCAGTCAATCTGCACCAAAACAACACGGAAGATTCGGAATAGTGCGCCTCCACGAGTTTGCGTTGGCCAATCACAACGCTCGAAATTTGTCGACCCTTTTTAAACTCGCATTGGGTCGACAACTTTCGCGCATTGTGATTGGCCAACGCAATGAAAACTCTTGGTGGCGCACAATTGTAAAACGGCCGTATTATTCACTGATCAATGAGTGGTTCTTAAAAATGCATGATTCGGCCATCGAGCCCTGCAATGACAACAGCCTATCGGTGCCAATCTCCTGTAAATTTTAATAAGCCTCATCTGAAACCAAAACACATCTACGAAAAGTCTCTGCGTGGAAAAACTTTGCAGCGAGCGATGCAGGCTATTGTAGACTTTAAACGTTCCCCTACTGCCTAGCTTTGGCGACATATCTATTGGTTTCTTTCGTGACGGGTCATAAATTGGCAAAACACACGAAGTTTCGTTGTAAAATTTTACCATATTTTGTCCAATATCCTTGAGAGACGTTGTCGCTCCTACATCGTCTGTATATTGAAGAGTCATCTATGGAACGGGAAATGCATTTCAAATTGAGTATTGCTTACAGCCGAAACAAAGTTTTCCTTTCTTAAAAATGTCTTGATTAAAACGTTTTATGTATGAGTGATTTATAAATTACCTCCACGTACAACAAAACATGTTGCTTTTTGTTTTCTACTTTTCAGCGTCCAAAAGTCGTTTTCGACTGAGGGGATCCGTAAGACTAAAATCTGTGCCTGGCATGAAGCCATGCTGGGTTTTAAGCCTCAAGTTTGCCCCCAAAGGCATAACGTCTTCATGATTTAAAATCTACAAATCTATATTTAACCACAGTCTGTCCTTAATAAGTAATATCTCATTGAAAGAGAACATTAACTACCGTTGCTATATTTGTTTCGAAATCGATGACGTCGGTCATGTCCTGAGTAGCAACCGTCTCGTTCGCTCCAAGCGCTACAGCAATGTCGATCATGTATTGTAGATAGGCTTGTCTCTTCTACAAATAGTAATGAGATTAATTAATTGTAATGGGGACCAGCGGAATTTGGGCGGGAACCAGCCAGTTTGTACCACATCATGTTTAGCTGGTTTCCTTTTTTTCTCAATGCGGAATCTTCACCTTAGGTCAATTTCAATCAGTGACCATTTGTCGTCTTCGTGGTAATTTTCCCTGATATCCTTCGAACAAATGGTTAGTACCAGGCAAAATCGACCAGTGGTTGACTGATGCATTGCTGATCTGTAACTTCGCCTGAGATTTTGCCGTTCACCCAGCATATTGCACTTAACGCCGTCTGTTACAAATTGCCTTCCAGGCGAAATCAGCGGTAAATATAGATGTCGATTAATCTGCGGGTTTGAAAATTTTGAGTTTACAGTGGTACACTACCAAAAAGATGGCCAATACATCATTCTCTTAGTCCTGTTCAGTTCCCCATGGTGCTTTGAATAGTTGAGAGTAATCGTTGTTGACATATGTAACTGAAAGGTATTTAAACATTTACAAAAATCTCTACCTACCTGGGAATACCTCTCCAGCACAAGAATCTTCACTCCATCATCTTCGGCCTCATTGTCTTCGTCAGTCTGTCAAGGAGCAGTTGAATTAAATATGTGTATATTCATGAATTATGAATTAATAAATTATAACCATCTGATGACATAAAATATGAAAATAAGAATTATAAGTATTATACATTCAAAAAGTAAAATATTATAATTTTTATACACAAATTTCGAAAAGCAGTAGTCTTGAACACGTATAAATCTGCCATGAGAATATCTCTTACCAAAGTCTTAGTTCCTCGCCTGCGTTTCCTCTTGGTGTCGCCCTTTAGTACCCTAAAATCAGGGGTATCCGCCTGTTCAAGAAAATAGTAACTATATCAAAGCATGTAATCCCTATGCCTTATCCCTTCAGTATCGTATGTACATACAGTTTGCAGCCTAATTCGGCGAGCTGAAGATATTACAGCGATGGTGCCACGCTCGTGGACTGGTGCTACGCGCAGGTTACAACATCCTCAATTGCCAACTATAGGGTGCTTGGCTCGCCAATTGCTCACCCACGTGAAGTTGAAGAACGCGAGCGTTAGGCTGGAGCCACCGCAGAAATTGCGTCTCCTGGGATTAGTTGACCTATATAATTGTGTTTCATTATTTCAGTTGTCCATACATCACTTCAACACTAGAATTTCTCGAATGAATTGGGTAAAACATCACAAGCAACTTTTCGAGCCGAACTTGTTAAATTGTTTAGTGCTTGTAAATAAGCTTGCGCCCCAAACGCCCTAAAAGTGAAACTAAATTTCAAGTTGGTGTGATGTTCCCTGATGGAGGCTTTGCCGTGTATGCGATTCAGATTCAGAATATTTACGTGTTTTCTGAATTCGTGTTTTGGGAGTTTTCCCTAGGCAAGTGCCCACAAAGAACCTCAGCCAACCAGCGCTGACAGTATCAATTGCTCCTACATTCTGGAAAACTATAATCTTTCTCATCTCCAGCGTGGGATGGACAAATTTATAAGATGCTGTGTATACGTCAACAACTCACATTCAGTTTGTACTTGTCTTTGATGTCAGGATCTCCATACGTTCCTGTGGTAACAAGCAACTCAATGTTGTATTTGCCCCTGATGTCGGCCCACAGCTTCTCGAAATCGAAGGCGGCCGGGTCCCAGTTCCCGCCCGTTGAGTTGTCCCCGAGGACAGGCCAACCACCGAGCGACGTGAGCAGGTCAGTCAAAGGTTTGGTCCCAAGTTCGTTGATGGTGTCTGTTGGTGGGATGAGACAGGCCCAGAGTAAGATGGAAACGCCTTTCTCAAAACACTGAGAATGTGACGGAGGGGTCAATATCGAGTTCTCAGGGGCTGAAGATTCTTTCATGGTTGAAAAAACTGGACACTCGGTTTTTAGTATAAGTCTCATTTGCCGCCCCCAACCTCGATGCGCCATTGTTAGCAAGGATAAAGGTCACTCGCAAATAACTCATATATACGATTCAGGTAAAGTCCGTCCACGCTCAAAAATCCCTTTATTAACTAAACATTTACATGAGGTGACTACTTACCCATGTCCCCGCATGACTTGTAGTCCTTCCTTAAAGTGTCATATGAACCAGGCTCACCAGCAGCAGGGCTTCGTTCAAAGAGAACTGGTTGGAGTAAAATTATGATCAAAACAGCAAGCGTAAGTTATTCAACCATTATCCAAATTGCCTAACTAATAATCGGAATGTTGGAATGTCGACACTGACAATAATACGTGTCCAATGAGAATGGCGATGACAGTGATCCGGCTGACCGTCGATGATTCTGTCGATGACAGCAAAGGTCTAGCTCCTCATGTAATCGGGTTCATTTTCACACAATTGCCGATGGTGCATTGTCACTATTGTCACGGTGACAAGAAATGTGCCGAAGATGAGAGTGATCCCGATGACTATTGTGGCGATGACCATGCCATTGGCGGTGACGATGACAAGCTTGACTCAGGTCAAGATGGAACGATGGCAGAGTTTATGGGTGTGCCGACACTCTGATTTTGTCATTTACTACCTTTAAGCTTGTCCAGCAGATCGTCACCGACTATCGAGAACATAGAGAAGCTCGAGCGGTTCTCTAAAACCTTGTGGCGCTCGATCCAACCGCCGCATGCGTACTCGAAGAAATTATCGCAGGGTTTCTTGCTCTGATCCATGTTGTTCAGGTAACCATAAGCTGATCATAGTGGAATGGTAAAATGACATCTGTGTTAGCCGGGATAACGTTGAGAAAGTGTCGTACAGACGCTGATAATTGGTAGTTTGTCAAGCTCTTAATTTTTTTATTCATAGGGCCGAAAAGCGAGCATCAAAAGGCTAGATGCACGATCATTAACATTTTATGATTAATTTAAGGTTTGTTGTATTTTTCTACCGAAACAAAACAAAATTGTAGTCGATTGGTGTCATAACATTACAAATTGTCACTTAGGAACTTTGTGGGGTACGGAGGCGTATAAGGGCCGCTTGCAAAAACACTTTTTCCATTTGCTATTTCGCCTTGGTAACCGTCATGCCGCGGCGACTTACTATCTCGAAAAAAAATGCAAGTGGCCCTTATATACTTCCTCAGTAAGGCGCAGCAAATTTTTGAATTCCTTAGAACCTTGCAGTCAGCGTAAGACTGCGGTAGATTTGAATAGGAAACCTACTCCACGAGCAAAATATCAATTTTTGTACATTCAGGTATTCTGTATCAAGAAATTGGCAGTGTGGCAGTTTTGGTACACAGTTTCACTGATAAATAAAAAATTAAGAAAATTGTAGAGGGTGAAATTTCTTCTGGAATCCATCACTACGGTTGTTCTTTTAGAAACTTAGATGAAAAAAAAGGAAGTTCTAGAACAAAATCTGCAAATTTAGGGAGACTATAGCATTTCAATAAATACATACATTGGATCCTAGAGGAAAAGTTGCCGAGGAATTGTTTAGTTTCGCTCCAAGTTTCAAACATTATTTTTCGAGGCCATTGTTCAGAATGCATTCAGTGGATGGCGGTCACTATTAGGTTTTCCCTTCTTATAATCTAAAATTGTCTCTTGACATAAGTGTCAATGTTTTGACCCTTTGCCTTATCTCCTGTGTGTTTTTTCCGTACAATGCATCATGTGACTCACACAGAAAAGTCTTACCAGAGTCGAAGCACTGCTTTGTGGTGCAAATCGGTGCGTTACCGCCGGCCTTCAATTTGTCCAATTCGTTCGCAATGTCATTCTTCTGCACGGCGAACACAACTGTAAAAACAAGCCAGCCGAAAATATAAATCGATACGTCAACTTTGATCATGTGCGCATCTTCCATATTTAACAGGGACGAGTCCCACTAGTTTGAACATGCATTTCAGGATTCAGTTTTGTAGAAATCGCTGAGCAGCAGGATGAGAGGCACAACCGGGGTACATTTAAGAGGGAAGGGGGAAGGAAAAAAGAGGAACTTGGGGTCGTCATTTTCGGAAAACGGGCACTCATTGGGTTCGGTCACAGTAAAAGCACTGACTATATCATGGCGGACTATCATCAGATTTTTTCCTTTTTCTAATTTCTGTGGGCCTCAAACGGGGGTGGGCGTGCCCCATGTTCTTCCTCCCCCCGTGGTTACTCCATCGAGCAAGATGTAAAGTCTGCACTTCCAGTGCAGCAGAGTGAGCGATTACTCAGTCATCACATAACCTCAATGAATATAAACCAGCAATCATCACTTCCTTTCATGGCCGTTTCTACGGCCGTGTGTGGAGGCATGTCTATCTAAAATAAACTTTCAACTACAAGACCGTTCATTACAACAACTGCTTACAGGTCTATCCTCACCAAGGAACCTGATAAACTGCAACACGTACAGTTACTTTCATAAGAAACAGTGGAATTTATGACTTCATAGCAAATAATAATCGAAAACTGCGAGATGCAGTGCAAATTAAAAAGCCATGAACAACGAGGTTGACTAGGTTCATTAAGACATTTTTCTCAAACTCCTATTTGA